CATCCGAACGCAGATGCAGTGTGGTCAGGTGCATGCAGATGCATGTGACCCGTCCTGTCAATCATCTCGCCCCTATAATCAATTGTTCAGTATAGCAAATTATATCTTATGAGACCATATTTTATTGGTTCTATTTGAGTGTAAATTCTGTGTTTAATTGATATAAATTGATTATTCGTAAATAAGAATAATTAGAATTATTTGAACTGTTATATGTATTTTTTTTTTTATTTTTTTATTTTCTATATGTTTTATTTTCTTCTCCTTTGAAATTTTTTAATTTGGCTTTCATAGAAATAATCTGGTTATTTTTTGTTTGTTTAATATTTTTGAATTATTTGGATATTTTTTGTTTTTTTATTTTCTGTATGTTTAATTTGGTTTCTCTTTGAAATTTTCCAATTTGGCTTCATAGAAATAATCAGCTTTTTTTATTTGTTTGTGTTATATTTTTGTATTATTTGGATAATTTTTTTTGGTTCATTTGATTCGGATCCGTCGGTCATGAAATCGTGTGTTGCTACCAAAAGAATCACTCGATTCTATCTTTTCTTTCCAATCGAGTGTCATGTGGGTTTCTATCACGAGTGTTACCTGCCCCCGAAACACCTCACTGCTATAAAATTAAATATCACTCTCGGTCTCATCATTTGTTGATTTGAGAAATCGAAGTGATAGTGATAACCCATCATTTTTAGCTAGAACGCGGTTTTAGGACATACCGATATAAAACAAACTAATGATATTCGAGATCTTCATCGTTTCGGTTTATATCATCGTTCGATTTTAGCCAAGAACCAAGCGGTGATATGGAGGTCATCACCGTCGATTTTAGCAAAAAAACCGACATCGATACTATCACCTTTGGTTCGTGGCTTGAACCGGCAAAATGATATGTCTTGAGAAAACTTTATAAGTTTCTCATATGATGTCCGATGAAGACGAACTTTATATCAAAGTTGTAGTACTCGACCAGATCTACAACTTTGTAGTTCAAACTTTTTAATTTAAGATTATTTGAATGTCCAAACATTTTCATTTAAAATCATCTATCTAACGAAAATTACGTTTGATTTCTAAAATTTAAAATTTGAATTTTTTAAACGACCTCGGATGGTAAAACGCCCAAAACAAAAGTTGTAGATCTAGAAAAGTTATACAACTTTATAGTTGACAACTTTTTCATTTGAAATCATTTACTACATCAAAATGCTGATTGAAATTAAATTTTAAAATTATTGAAGAACTCTGATTTCTCTTTTTAATCTCTGGCTAAAACTTGTAACAAGTCTTTCTCCTCCTGACTTCATAATTGATGATTTTTTTCCTAAAAATTTCTAAAATCATGCTCTATCAATTTATTGTTTTGATATAGCTATTATTTTATCTATCTTTTCATATGACTGTATGTTTTATATATTTGAATTTTGAATTTAAAAAATAGCAATTTCAAACATCATTTTGGAACACTAAATGATTTTAACTAAAAAAGTTATAAACATATAAGTTGTAGAACTTATCAAGATCTAATTTTATTTTAGTCATTTCTTCATCAAATAAAATGATAGTAACTTTATTCATAAAATTTACCTCTCTCTCTTATAGTTTATGTAACATTTATGAACAATGTTACTACCACTATGTCGGATGAGTAAATGATCAAATGACAAAATAGATATTATAGATCTCAGAAAGTTATAAAACTTTTGTAATTGACAAATTTTTGATTTGAAATCATCTTGTCAAAGAAAACTACGCTTGAATTTCTAAAATTTGAAATTCAAATTTTGTAAATGACCTCGGATGGAGAAACTACCAAAATAAAAGTTATAGATCCCAAAAATTATGAAACATTGTAGTTGACAACTTTTTGATATGAAATCATCTTATAAGAAAAACTATGTTTGAATTTCTAAAAATTTGAAATTTGAATTTTTTAAACGACCTCGAGATGGACAAACAGCAAAAACAAAAGTTGTAGATCTCAAAAAGTTATAAAACTTTGTAGTTGATAACTTTTTCATTGGAAATCATCTTGTTTTCGTTTGAATTTCTTAAATTTGAAATTCAAATTTTTGACCTCGGATGGAGAAACTACAAAATGAATTTCTAAAATTAGAAAAAATAAAACTTTTTGACCACTTTTTCATTTGAATTCGTTTAGGGGTCTCAAATACCCATTTCAAAATCGGATGAACATAAAATGGGTAAAACGAAAATCTAATTTGGACACAAACAACATGCAGATGGAGTGGTTAGGGGCCAAAGATGCGAAGTGGGAGGTCAGAGGTTCAAGTGGCCACGAAGCGCGTGTTTTCACACGAAAAATTGCGTGACGGTGGGACCTCTCCGGTATTAAATTTTTTCCTATTTTTTCAGTGTATTTTTTGGCTTTCCACGTCACTGCCGGTTTCACATCAGTGTCGGTTTATAAGAACCGGTAGTGATGTCAACATCTATCACTGCCGGTATGCCACTGTCGGTTTAAAATCTGGCTGTGAAGGAGGTTTTGAACCGACAGTGATGTCAAAATCTGAGGTAGTGCCTGGCAGCCGGGTAGACAGATCCTTTTGTTAGGTTATAGTCGTTGATCGCTGTTTTTTTAATGCAACACACCATGTCGCGGGTTCAAAACAGTCTCTTCGCAGATTTTACGGAGGGAAGGCTTGCTTCGGTTTTTTCCTTCCCCAGACCCCGATAAATAGTTTTTTTTTAAGAAATCACGTGGAAATTGGGCTAATTAGTTATTACGATATTTTTAAAGTGCGACAAGCAACGTTTGGTCTACAAAAGTGGTAACAACATCGATATTTTCAAGTTTTCAAAATCTTTTTCTTATTTAACATCAACTTTACATTCAAAATAATTAGAGAATAAACAATTTCGATCACGACGTACGAACGATGTCAATTTCTTAGGCCCCAAACCCACGAGGGATAAATTAGGCTTTTTCCATTCCGCCAGCTTGAGCTATCTTTTCATTATCCGAAATAAGTCAGAGGCGTCGCATCCGCACGCATGCTTTTTTGCTATATTTTGTAACCATCTTGTGTCTCAAAATCTTTAGTCAATAGTGATCCTACTGCTTGTAATGCAGTCCTACACGTTACTGTGACTGAGTTTCTGTTCTTTTTTCTACTGTTCCCCTGCGCTCCTCTTTGTCTCCGGCACTTGCAATATATATAGCAGATGCAGTTCCAGATGTTTGTACCTAAATAAATTTATATGCGGCTCATCCCCAAACCCTAAAGGCATTACGCATTACGTATCACGGCCACGCCATGACTAATTCTTGCTCAAGGTTTGGATTTCTTTTTGTTTGATCTTCTTGATGAGTTTTTGATAAGCTATTAAGCACAGAGAGAATACATACATTTGAGTGAAAGTATACCTTACTTTATACTAGGCATATGAATTCCATTCTTGAGGGCCATTTCTATCTTGCTTGCTCCGCCCCAAATCTGTGAGAGGCAGATCCAGGCAGCGTTTTCGGCCCCCCCTCGGCGGAGGGAGGCTTCCCCTACAGAAACAGGCAGTTTGTTTTCATATGATGTAAAATAAATTTTCTATAAAATTTATAGCTATTGAGAAGATCTACACTACAGCCCTCTAAGTGGCAATTCCTTAGCTGAATACGTAAAGATGCTAAAAAAATCGAGATGAGAAGCGTAGGTAAGACAACAACGAGGAAACTTTTGAAAGGATTTGAACAGCTCTTTCTTATGATATTAACCCGATTTGGAAATGGGGTCAAAAGGGTAGGGTCACCTGTTTCTCGGACGGGTCACTATTCTTGTTCCCCCCTGCTTGCTCATCCCTCTTCGTTGTGTGAGTGTATTTTGTTTTTGTTTGATTTGTGTTGTTGTAATAAACTATTACACTTCCCTATTAATACTTGCCGGTATTTTCGTAGCCGTGGCTTTTAAAAAATGTAATACTGTCCGTAATAATCTTTTATTTGTTAAATTCAGATTATTCTAACCACAAAGGACAGCGGGAGTACGTACGTAGCACCTATATCCAGGCACGGCAGGGTGGGAAAGAGAGAACACGCGTTTTGTGCATTCGGCCTTCTCCATTTTGTTGCATGTGTTTTCTGAACACGCAGGTCCACCGTGAAAGAGAGATACGGAGACCCGGGAGGGGCGGAACACATCAAGCTGATGTCTGGACTACCAGGAAGATTCCAGGACAGTGGCGCAATGCAAGAGCTGTGCAGCATAGCACCATGGCCACGCACATGCGATCACCACCACAACCGGCACCCGTCGATCGGGGCCACCGTCCTGCTGTTCTCCTTTTGGGACACTCGGTGGTTATCTTTTAATGGCCGGCCTAACATGTATATTTAATACACTTCCAATATTTGTAATCTCTCATCATGGTTGCGTTCTATTTTCCAAACAATCTGGAGAGCCATGAGTTATACTATATGGATACCATTAGTCAGTGTGTGTGTGCACTCCAACTGTAAGTCGTCAGCAATATGGAATATACGAATGTGGATCTCTGAATATTATTGGAAGTAGGGGACACAAACAAATTTTCTAATATTCGTCTTATACTAACTAGTGTATTTATACTAAAACTAGCGCATTTCTAATATTCAGCAAGTGTACTATGTGTGAGCGTGTTAGGTTGTAGGCCACCGCCAGCCACGTCGCACCTGCGGCGATGCTGCTGTTGCGGCGCTAAAAATGGCCGCCGCACTCTGTGGCAAGAATCTCACATTTTTAAACTAATGATTTCCGTGGCTACCGTCGTTTTTTTTTTTTTGACGAGAGTGGCTACCTTGGTTGAATCATCAATATTCAAACACGTACGAGGTAGATATCTGTGGCTCGCCAGAACTGTGGCGTGGCGCGTTGCGGCGTGGAACCAAACAAGGCTCTGTGTTTTTTCACAAATTTTTTCTTCATCTGCGCGTGCATCGTGATCGTTTAACTATTGTAAAGTGAAGCCGCGCAGTTGTGTAGTACGTACGTCTACATATCATGAGTTCATGCTTCGAAGTCTGTGGCGCGGCCACGCAGGTACCACTCGTACAGCTTCTTGAGCCCATCCCGCAGCTCGACCTTGGGCTCCCACCCGAGCGCCGCCATCTTGGAGCTATCCAGCAGCCGCCTCATCACGCCGTCGGGCCGGCTCGTGTCCCAGACGACCCGCCCCTCGTACCCGACCACCTCCCTCACCGTATTCGCGAGCTCGCGCACCGTCACCTCGCGCCCGCTCCCGACGTTGACGTGCTCGGGCCCGGAGTACGTCTCCATCAGCAGCATGACGGCGTCCGCGGCGTCGTCGGCGTGCGTGAACTCGCGCAGCTGGCGGCCGGAGCCCCACACCACGACCTCTGGGGCGCCGCTGGCCTTGGCGTCGTGGAACCGGCGGATGAGCGCCGGGATAACGTGGGAGCTCTCCGACGGGAACGGGTCGCGCGGCCCGTAAAGGTTGTTGGGCGTCGCCACGATGGCGTCCATGCCGTCGAGCTCGGCGCGGTAGGCCTGGCACATCTTGATGCCCACGATCTTGGGGATGGCATACCTGAAATAAAGTCGGCGTAAAATCTTGTCAAATCGAGTTGCATGTTGCGACCGTACATGCATGCACGCTCTTGTTGCAAGCTTTTCCGCCATGGACGACCGGACGTACCACTCGTTTCCCGGCGCCGGTGGGCCGGTGAGGAGCGCGGACTCCGGTATCGGCTGGGGGGCGTCGACGGGGTAGATGGCGGAGGTGGCGAGGAAGAGCAGCTTGCGCACGGTGCCGCAGCGGCGTGCGGCGGTGAGGACGTTCATGGTGATGCGCAGGTTCTCGGTCATGAAGTCGGCCGGCGCGGCGGAGCTGGCGTGGAGGCCGCCCACCTTGCCCGCTGCGAGGATCACGTAGCGGGGCTGCTCCGCGTCGAAGAACTTGTGGACGGCGGGCTCGCACGTCAGGTCAAGCTCCGCGCGGGTGCGGCCGACGATGTTGGTGAAGCCCAGCGCGGCCAGGCGACGGTGGATGGCGGTGCCCAGCATGCCTTTGTGGCCGGCGAGGAAGACTTTCGCCGACCTGTCGGCGAGGAACGACGACGTGCCATTGTTGTCGGCAGCCTTTGGCACTTGCAGAGCACCGCCGTGTGAAGGCATCCGTATATGGAACTGAATTCTGCGCGCTTGAGAGCTGAGGTAGTAAGGTGTGTGTTTCGCGGTGCGTTGCCTTGGCCTTAAATAGATTCGAATTTTTGTGGAGCTGACTTATATTTTCTTAGACTGAGAAAACCTAGTACTAGTGTTTTCTGTTAAACAGATTACCAGGAATGTCACGGTTTTCTCTATTACAAACATGACGCATGCGCGTCTGAGAGTACGTGGCTTTCTAATTCGTTTTGGTGGTGATCTTCTCTCGTCACTAATACCGCACATAATTAACATGACACACCACCTCTGAATATCTAACCTTCCGGCCAATTAATTTCTTTAAGTCCCCACTGCACGGCTCGGATCATGGAGCGCCCTTTAAAGTCTCGTTCGCTTGTCTTATAATCTGTATTTTTTAGCTTACTTTTTTAGCTGGAACAGTGTTTTTCTCTCACAACAAATCAGCCGGAACAATATTTCGGCTTGTTTTTTCAGCGAAGCGAATGAGGCCTAAGTCTCCTCTACAAATTTGCACTATTTATGAAAGCTTAAAATGAGAGAATAGAGATGGAAGACAATGAGAGAAGTCTCTCCTGATTTGTTTTCTAGATCCACCACAGTTGACCAAGTATATTAGGGGCCGAGAGCTCCAACTTTAGCTTGTCAGAAGAGAATTACTCTCAACCAGCCAAACGCTCAAAATGCTAACTGATTTAGATGGGGATCAGGAGAGAATCACTTTTCATTTACACTAAGAGTTGAGAGCTTAAAAAACTTCTTTCACCCTACTCCATGTTATATTCTGGTGGGATTAGCTCATAGTGTATTCAGAATCCGACAAAAAGGTTCTTTTTTTTAAAACATATTACATTTATATGCTTTTTTATGAAAAAATATTCTTTTTAGAATCCAACCTATGAGCCAAACGATGTGTCGAAGTGATTCCGATTTATCATCTAAAACGTCTTTTGAAAGAATCTAATCCCTACCAAATACACCCTCAATTGTCATCCTAAGAATCCAACCTCATTGAATAATCAAGAAACTGAGCCGGAGAATCAAAGAGTGGAGCTCTCCAAATTGGACCTTAAAATGCCTACGACACAAACGTCCACACATGTTTTTTCTTCAAGTCCACACATGTTTTATTACGAGAATAATAGTCAGCTAGAGAGCGTGCATCCACCCGAAACGACATCACACGCAATCGAAAAGGCATCAACACACTAGACATACACAGTGTGTGGTTCTCTCTAAAAAAAACGCCCACCATGTGTTTTGTGTTCATATCTGGCTATGTCGTGCTTTTAGGAGGATCCGCGAGGCGATTTAGCGCTAAGGATGCCTTGACCTTTCTACAGGAAAAAGTTGACATGGATGTTCATACGTGCATCTGCATGATAGGGCGTGCTGTCAGCGTCTTCAAGTCAGTGTATATACTCCGTACGTAACAAATGCTACCAGTGTGCAATGATGCGTAGGTAAGGGACCAATGACGACGTCGCGTTAAATAGTCAGCTCCTCAGCCACTCGTGTCGGGATCAGGAGAGTACCATGCCTTTTCACTGGCCTTTTATGGACCACGACTGTATCAGATGGGCTTGTGCACGCAGTGATTTAGGCCCGCATGGAGAGCCATATTTGTTTTCTGGGAACGAACAAGTGCAGCCACCGTAGCGTTGACGAGGAAGGAACGCGCGTGCAAGTAGCAACGTGCACGCTTCCCATCTCGTTCTTTGGATCCCGCGCGGCCTCACGCGCCCTCCTGTAACTGGGTACTCCCTCGTCACAAAATAAATGAACGTACGTATCGTTTCTTGAATACAAATTTAACTTGAAATATAAACAATAGCATCAAATTTATAATTCCACATAAATTTATTATAAAATCTACTTAATACTCAACTAGTGATATTTATTATAAATCTTAAATATTATATATATTTGATTAGACTTCAAAGATTTAACTCTTTGAGAAAACGAGATGTTCGTTTATTTTGGGACGGACAAAGTACTAGCTTCCTCACACAACTACTTCCTAATCTGATCTCTTCTCTTGTAGTAGTCGCACGACGGGATGTTCACTTGTCTCAGGATCTAGTTGAAACTCGAGAGAATTGGAGTACTGAAGTTATAAAAAGCTCTATCATGCTGTGTTTTACAAAATTTAATGGTTTAGCAAATTAATTATAAAAAAACAGCTGAAGTTTCTCTAATGTGTCTGGATTAGCTACAAACACCGCACTCTGCCTGCCTACTGGAGACTGCGAATGCACGAAACTTGAAAAAAAGATAACAGTTGCTTAAGGGGGGAAAAGTAAAAGGTCAACAGCTCTGAGCTGTGGTGGACTCTCGAGCAGTTCGATGTACGTAACCCGGCCCACGAACCCATCTTAATAACGGCCCTCCAAAATCCCAATTCCCCGGTCCAGCGACCGCGAGTCTCATCCGTATCCGACCATCTCCGGCCGCCGCTCCCTCCGCACCCTCCGGCGACATGGGCACCGTCACTGCCGCAGGTAAATCCCGCCCTCTCTCTCACCCTCCGCAAGCTCGATCTCCCGTGTGGGCTTACCTCCGACCCCCTCTCCTCGCCTCGCAGATCCGCACCCGTCCTTCCTCGCCGACAAGGACGCCAAGGTCTTCGTCGCCGGTCACCGGGGCCTCGTCGGGTCCGCCATCGTGCGCCGCCTCCTCTCGCTCGGCTTCACCTCCGTCGTCGTCCGCACCCACGCCGAGCTCGACCTCACCCGCCAGGCCGATGTCGAGGCCTTCTTCGCCGCCGAGCGCCCGCGCTACGTGGTCCTCGCGGCCGCCAAGGTCGGCGGCATCCACGCCAACTCCACCTACCCCGCCGACTTCATCGCCGCCAACCTCCAGATCCAGACCAACGTCGTCGACGCCGCGCTGCGCTGCGGCTCCGTCCGCAAGCTCCTCTTCCTCGGCTCCTCCTGCATCTACCCAAAGTTCGCGCCGCAGCCCATCACGGAGGGCGCGCTCCTCTCCGGCCCGCTCGAGCCCACCAACGAGTGGTACGCCGTCGCCAAGATCGCCGGCATCAAGATGTGCCAGGCCTACCGCATCCAGCACGGCCTCGACGCCGTCTCCGCCATGCCCACCAACCTCTACGGCCCGCACGACAACTTTCACCCCGAGAACTCGCACGTCCTGCCCGCGCTCATCCGTCGCTTCCACGAGGCCAAGGCCACCAACGCCCCCGAGGTCGTCGTCTGGGGATCAGGCTCGCCGCTGCGCGAGTTCCTGCACGTTGATGACCTCGCCGACGGCGTCATCTTCTTGATGGATCAGTACTCCGGCCTGGAGCATGTCAATGTGGGAAGTGGGAGTGAGGTCACCATCAAGGAGCTTGCCGAGCTAGTCAAGGAGGTGGTCGGTTTCAGGGGAACCTGGTGTGGGACTCCACCAAGCCGGACGGCACACCCAGGAAGCTCATGGATAGCTCCAAGATACAGGGATGGGGTGGAAGCCCAAGATCGCCCTCAAGGAAGGCCTCGTCGAAACCTACAAATGGTACGTCGAGAATGTCATCTCGAACAAGAAGTAGAGCCATGACATGCCAGTGGTGCTGGTTTGTTCTCCATTGCTATTTCCACAAGTTGGTATCATGATTTGTAGTGTTTCTATGGTGGTTGAATATCGGATCATACGGTTGTCAGTTATAAGTTAACCCACATAGAAGAGGCTTGTTATGTGTTGTGTTGCCTGAATAATCTGTGGGTCGAGTACTCGAGTTAGTATACTGCTACAAGCATAATTGTTCTGGAACACTTTTTATTGAATAGAGAAAGTTTAATGACCAAAATGATGATGGATTGATGTTCTTGGCCTAGAAACAACTGCTTGCTGAGCAAGCTCTGTTTGATTTCTGAGATATCACAATTGTGTTCACAAACATTCATTACTTCATATCCTTTAGTTTGTACTCTACTGATCACATTGAGAGGAACTAATGATCAAAGAAGATATTGCTTTCAACTGATTTTAGTGCTATGATTTGGAAAATGACCTGTGCCAAGAGTTAAAAAATTAAGTTCAGTATGTGAAGTTGGTTCTTGTTTTTGGGTGACCACTCTGTTTGGGTAGGCACTTCTATCAGTTCAGAAGCAACGTTGTCTTCTGAAAATGGTGGAAAGTTAACCTTCAGCTGAAGTATAACTAGAAAAGTTCAGAGAGGAAAGAGCATTTTCTGGAAGGTATTGGGTAGTCAGTGACTCAAGTGTGCTTAGTAATGTTATATCATAGTAATAGTAGAAGCTTATCCCCTTCTTGCTTCTTATATGTTGTATTGAATATGAAAGGGATCCCAATATGAAATGAGCTCCAGATATCTTGTTCAATATGTACATCAGGTCGAAGTTTTTGCTGAGAAAAAGACAGCAGTGGACCTTTTGTATGACTAGGTAGGATTGTAGGAAAGCGCAATCTATCATCAGAACCGGAAAGTCTTCCATTTCTTCATCAGTAGTTTCAAAGCAGCAGTATCCTCATGGGCCCATAGCAGCAAATATTTCAAATTGTCAAATCATTCTACCTAATGATTTATCTTATTCCTTCGACTGTCAGATCTTTGAACTAATGCGATATAAACCGAAGATGGACGGAACAAGTTTAATATTTGAACTCTTCAATTTAAATAAAATTATGTATACGCATGGTTCAAGCTTCCGTTGTAGTCTAGCTGGTTAGGATACTCGGCTCTCACCCGAGAGACCCGGGTTCGAGTCCCGGCAACGGAATTTTTTTTTTGGTGTGGTGGTTTCTTCTTTTTCCTCTGGTAGACTCGTACACTTTTCTTTGTTTTTGTCGACATGTACTCTCATCAGCTCTGGACAGCAACGGCACTACGGCACACACACGGTGGCAACGGGGATCATCGCAGCCGTCCAACACATTTAAAAAAGAAGCAAACGATGCCTTGCTTCCCTCGCTCCATTTCTCCTTTGCCTCCTCAGCTCAAAAAGCGCAGCCACCCACGCTCCATGATCCTCATCTCCTTCCACACCTGCACCGATCATGCTTGCTCATGCAGAACTGCAGCTGCCGCGAGGCTATAAAACCTGTCCTCTGCTCTCCTGCCGCGGCTTCCTCTGCAAGCGCGCGCACCTAGGCATGGGCAACGTTGTGTCCGGGGTGCAGCTCCGTCGGCGGCTGCTGCCGGCGGTGGAGGAGCGCCTCACGCGGCCGCGCCGCCTCGTCCGCGAGCTGCCCGACCTTGACGCCGGCCGCCTGTGTCGTCTCATCCGCAGTGGCGACCTCGCGCCCTGCTTTGACCCGGCCGAGGACGCCGGTGGCGGCCTAACCGAGGAGTGCCCCATTTGCTTCTTTGTATGATCGATCACTCGTTCCTCCAGAATTGCACCCTGTTTCAGATAATTGGCACCTCTTTTTTTAGTAGCTGTGCGCGAGTGACACTTTTTTTAATAGTTTATTTTTCTTTGCTGTTCATGCAGTTCTACCCGAGTCTGAATACATCCAAGTGCTGCGGCAAAGGGATCTGCACTGGTGAGTTTCCATCTTCTCAATGCCTTTTCTTTCAGGCTTCAGCGATACCACAATACTGATAGGTGGTGTGTATTTGTTGGGTTACTAACTTTTCGATTTTGGAAGCAAGCAGCGTCCTATATATTTGGCTTCATTTTTTTTTCTAACAATAGTGACATTGCACAAAACAACTTATAGTAGTAAAGAGCACCAGCCCTGCCATATCTTTCGTTTCAAGAAAAGGAAAAACAGCACCAGCTCTTGTCAACCTTTTTTTTCTTTATATGCGACACTGCCACATGTCTTTAATTTACTTCAGTTCATCTGTGGAGGTGTTTTCCATCAGCTACAGAAGTCACTATGATCATGTAAAATAGCTAAGAACCCAAGAGGAGGATTCAGGTCGAGAACATTAGTAATTGTGCTTTTCCTTGACCATGTGCAGTTTTAGTATATTAGGCATTTGCTTTTACTGTATTGATTATATTGTCCTGTTGCTATTTGGTTTTGTCTACAAAGACTTTGCTCCTTCAGTTTCCCCCATGCCTAACGAATGCTATATCCTTATTAAAGCTTCTAGCCACTGAATCGCTTCATGTTGCTTCTGCCTGCAGAATGCTTCTTACAGCTGATGCCATCCAAGACTTCCAAAGTTGTCCAGTATCCTATTTTGCGACTTTTATTTGAACAGTTGGCTTGACATCTGATATGTACACCGTAGTACATTATAGGTTTCCAATCGACGCGCAAGAAACTTCTTCTGCTGAACCTAGATTTTCAGAGATGATCAACACTTCACAATTGCATGGCACTAGTCCTGAAAAATGTTCAGTTTGATTGAAGTATTAGACATGTGACCTTAAGTTGAGACACAATGAATTAATGATACATACTGTAGATGAAACTATTGTCTTGTTCAGTTTTTTTCATCTCAATTCTTGGGTCCTTAGCTAACAACGCAGCTGCCCTTTCTGCAAAACCAAGGCTTATGCAATTGAATACCAAGGTGCTCAAATGACAATTGGGAAGAAAATCAAACAAGAGGTATGTTTTGTAACTGTAGATTCTGAATTTGTTGTAGTACTACTTATTTATACAATCTGACATTGTGCAGGGAGAACCGAACGTCAATGAGACCAAATTGAGAGTACATTCGATATCTCAGATTACCGATGAAATTATTCGACCTTAGAATTAGCTAGTCCTACGTGTAAGTTTTTCTTACCTGGGCTTGGAGAGCTTCCATGATTGACTGCCATGACTCATCCTAACTGAATTGTTTGGAATATCATTTTGTTCAGAAAAGAGTCTGATTCAGCTCGACAGTCTTCTACTGTATAATGAAGCAAAATATTCTGCTAGTGGCTGTAAAAGAATGAGGAGTTGGTGTAGAATTGTACGTTGATTCTGTAGGTGGCTCTGAAGACAAAAATTAGGCTCCAAGTCTTATGCCTTAATTGCATCAGTGGTGATCAAGGGCTCCACGTCAGCATCCAATAATACGACACCAATCACTTGGATTCCGTGCGGTGCACTTGGCACGCTTCAAGATCTTTGTATTCTTTTTGCCTTTTTAACTTCTTGTATTTTCTGTATTCTTTTTCCCAAAAAAAACAATGGTTAGCGCATTTTCTCGTCATACTACTGCCTGTTAAGTTCAGAATATGATATCCGTAGCATTGAATGTTTTTTTCAGCTCAGTTGCAACCTTTTTGCTCGTTTAGGAATTCTTCAAACCAGATACATAATACATGTTCAGTAATTAAATTCCACGTGTTTGCAGTAATTTGACGAACTCCATTGTGTCAGTAAACATCCTTTTTGTTGTATTAGAATCAGGAAGTTTTCTCATCGCTGTCTGAATAAGGTTGCAGATTGAAGGAACCTTTCTGACTTCTTTCCTGATTTCCCCATGACGATTACTAGTTAGAAACAAGCCACAAACCAAAGTATACTTTGGACACCAAAGCCTTCACATGAGGCATGCTCAATCTAGAAAGTTCTATCCAGTATTGAGAACTCTCTAGCGGAAGGAAATTTGCAATGGCGACCACTGATTGAGATAAGTCTCTCGTCACTTCCTAGGACAAAACGAACTGCCAATGGCGAAGCTCCAAAACATTAGGTCACCTTCACATGCGCCTGTGCAGGAACCAAGCCACCTTTTACAGTAAGCATCATGTGCAGCAAGTACACTATTCAAAAACTGCGGCTATAAATCTAGACCACTCCCTGAACAACATACCATCAGCCAGCCATCACAAAGCACAAGCTTGATCAGTGATCACTGACCAGCAATGGCGGCCAACGGAGCTCTTGCTCTTACTGTTCTTGTTATTGTGCTGCTAGTCTCAGTAGGCGTTGCGAAGGCCAGGCCAGTGAGAAGCAACCTGGGCCTGACCATTGGTGCCGGTGGAGGCCTCGGCATTGGGCTTGATCTTGGGCCAGGTGGCTCTGGGTCAGCATCTAGCTCGGGCCAGGGATCGGGTTACGGTGCCTGGTCCGGACCAAATGGTGGTTCATATACCGCATCTGGGCACGGGTCCGACACGAGCTCTGGGTATGGTTATGGCTCAGGCTCTACCTACGGAGCTGGGAATGCGGGCTCAGCATCTGGTTGTGGATCGGGCACTTCATCGTGCTCAGGCTCAGGGTCTAGTTTGGGCTCGGGGTCTGTGGGCTTAGGCACATCGATCAACGTCGGTGTCGGTGTTGGAGTTGGTGCAAATGGTGGGTCAGATTGTAACACCGGTTCTGGTGGCTCTGGTTCTAGCACGGGCTTGGGCTCTGGGTCTAATGGAGGCTCGTACCGTTCACGTGGACGCGGGTCTTCCGGTGTTGGTATGGGTTTGGGCTCAGGAATTGGGTTAGGTGGATCAACTGGGTTCAGCGGTGGGCCTAATGTTGGGCCAAGTGGTGGGTGTTCAAGTTGTGGGTCAGGGCCTAGGTCCGGTTCAGGCGGTGTTGGTGGTTCGTACTCGGGATCATTCGGTGGATCTGGCTCATCGGCGAACTCTGGCTCTGGTTCTGGTTTGAGCACAGGCTCAGGCTTCGGTGCTTCTGGTTCTGGTTCTAGCTCTACGGCTGGATCAGGCTCGTCATCTGGATCTGCCGGGATGTCCTACGGCTCCTCATCAGGTTAATAATGTTTCGTAGAAGGACGTGATTGTTCAGACTTCAGAGTGTAGCTAGCATTTTTCTGATTGGGTTTTCTCTGGTCTCTTCAGGTTCGGGTTCATCTGGTGGAGCGAGCAGCAGCTCCAGCTCTAACTCCGGCTCCGAGTCGAGTGCAAACTCTGGCGCTGGCTCGAGCTCTGGCTCATTCAGCGCATCAGGCAGTGGATCAAACTCCATGTCTAACTCCGGGTCAGGCTCAGGCTCCGGCTCCAGCGCTGCATCTGGCTCGAGCTCATCAGGTTTACTATGCATGCCGCATGGAAAATGAATCCAGTCATTCAAACGAAACGTCGCTGAGTAGGACTGAATGAAAACCAAACCAAACCCATTCGTATTTTTGAACCATCTCGTGCTGAAGCTGAAGAAAAAGGTTGCAGTTGTAGTTGTAGCAGGTTGTGAGGTAACTATTGCCGCATTCCTTTTTGCAGGATCTGTTGCTGGCTCTGGCTCTGGCTCTGAATCGAGTTCGTGGTCTGGCTCGAGCGCCGGGTCGTCCGGCAACGCGGCAGGAGCAGGCGCAGGATCATCGTCCGGGGCGGGCTCGAGCTCTGAATCCGGCGCGAACGCCGCCGGCTCAAGCTCGAGCTCGGGCGCATGGTCCAGCTCAAACTCCGGGGCTAGTAGCTCAACCACACTGTCTGGCTCACCAGGACCTGACGCCGGTGCTAGCTCCAACGCCGGCTCGAGCTCAAGCTCCTGGTCCGGCTCCCGCTCTGATTCCGGCTCCTTCTCTGGAGCCGGGTCATCTAGCTGGTCTAGCTCGTCGTCTGGCTCAGCTTCCAACTCCGGCGGCTTTGGGTTCGGCCAAGGGTTCGGTGGGGGCCAAGGGTCTGGAGCCCGGCCGGGCTTCGGAATGGGCGGCGGCGGAGGGTTCGGAGCAGGATACCGGGAGCCGGAGCCGGAGCCGGAGGTGGAAACGCCGGTTGGAAGAAGCAGCATTAGGTCCAAAGGGTGACTTTGGGAGAAACTGAGAATGCAACGCCCAAATCTTTGTGCGCTTCATATTTATTTGCTTTTGTTCTGGGACTGATTAATCTCCTAAAAATAAACTCGTGTAATCGCCGCCGTCTTGCTTCAGTGTTCAGTCTCGTAACCAAATCTTGAAGCGTCTCCGTGATGAATGGAAAATGTTGTGTTTGTAACGCCTCCTACTCAGTAATGCAGTACTGCACTCACTCACTGTTACCTATTTTGCCGGCTCTATGTAAGTCTTAACCACTAATAACCAAGTGTACCATGCATGCACAGATGTGTGTCGTCTTCACCACATATCTCCGCAGCAACTTCCACCGATCGACCTGGTCCTGAGAATCTAGGTCAGAATGAGCCAGAAAAATGGGACGCCTTTAATATAACGTTCCATATATAACGATGTTTCAAAAAGTATAATATATGATTTTTTCAATCGGGGGATTGAAACCAAGTCTGGTATCCCTTTCTATTGGTTGAGCACGACTTCCACATGCATGTGTTTTGAGCAACATGAGTTTACTATAAATTTAGAAATTAGAAAGTAATTTAAGAAAATTACCAATACTCAATTTAGTTTCAGAATTCCCGAGAAAATTGATGCGGCGAAACAGCGGCTGCGCCCACCGGGCATTCCTAAATCCCAAATCTAAAGACCAATACCTTGCGCAAACATACACAAGCACAATCAAGGGGCTTAGGGGCAATTTCCACCGGTCACCACGTAGTACGCAATACCAGTTTGTTGTATGAACCACGCATACACCGATACCGGTCGCTCGTTCTAGTTAAGACGACCGATGACGTGCGATGATCGACTGGTGTGGACTGGAGGTCGTATAAGTCCTCATATGTCCGGCCGGGGTTCGCGCGCATGCAGAAGGAAGCCATGTCGCTTCTCTTCATCACCGAACGAGAACGGCAAGAAAGTCGGATACGGAATAAGGAAGCCAATGGGTAGCTGAATCGGTATGGAGGCAAGACAAATTGACGCCATAAAAATGCCTTTCTAGCTTGCTGGGCTCTAGCTTTGGGGCCATAGGTGGGAATTTATACTATACCCATACGGCCGGGTAAATCATACTCGGCGGGTCACCCATTCCCGCTTAATAATTTATTCACGCACGTGAAAATCAACAATTCAAGGCCGGAACCACGATCGACCTGAACAGAGAAGGGAAGGTCAGAATGGCCACCAACGGACATCCCAATTCGTCTCCATACCAAGCTACCAAAGCAACCAAGAAATGAAAGCCTCAATCGGGGGCGTGGAAACCATGCGTGGTACTATTGGTTGAGCACGAAGCGTCAAATAAATTTCCAAGTTCCGGCCGGTGGACATATGTAGGACAAGTGGTTACCAACCAAACATGGCCCTTCCCGATGCGGCGACGCAAGAATATGCGCCCAAGAGGATCAGGGGCCCAACCAAACCACGCGCGCAAAATAACTCGATCTGGCCGGGCCTTCCACCGGTCACCACGTAGTACGCAATACGCATAGGTTTGCGCGGAACCCCGCAGAGTCGTCCACAAGCAGCAAGCGTCGATCGGGACGTAACGTACGTGGCGGTGCTTCCCCGATCCGGCGAACCTGCAATGCAAGTTCAAGTTGGGTGGTGTCGTGGTACGGGCGTGACGTGGCGTGACACGGAGGGACGTCACGCCGGGCGATAAACGGTGCGCGTCACCGCCGGCGGATCGGGGAACGGCGGTCACTGATGGCCGGCTGGGCCATCGTCAGTAACCTCCGGTAGTCCGTGTCCTGTCTGAGGAGATGCTGAATCATGGCCCCACCAGTTTGTTGTATGTTCCCACGCATACACCGATACACCACGCTCGCTCTAATAAGATGACCGATGACGTGTATTGATCGACTGGTGTGGACTGGAGGTCGTATAAGTCCTCATATGTCCGGCCGGGGTTGCGCGCATGCGGCCAGGGCCATGTCGCCTTCTCTTCATCACCGAACGAGAACGGCAAGAAATTGGCCGGATACGGATAGGTAGCTGGCTGATTGATCGTGCCCATCAGGCCATCAGCGAGAGACAGCGCACGCAGGAAGGAATCACCAATTCACCATCACGAAATGAAAGAACCAGCAGGCCGGCCGGCAGTCTCCGACGATCGACGTCCTGTTCCTTGCGCATTGATCATTGATGGACACGTACGTTGACCCGGAGCCGCCAGGAGTGTCTGGCCGGCAGTGGCGGTTTTGATGAGTTCGATCGTGGTGCGGCCGGCCGGTTTGCCGTGTGCGCCGCAGGCCGAAGCTGCCTGCCTCGATCGCGACCGAGTCCACGGCGCGTCGTCTGCCGGCCGGTGCTCCGTGCTTACTGCTTACAGTACTGTTACACAGGGCCGTACGCGTCCGATCGACAAGCTCGCATGCACGGCGCAAAAGACATTGACCAAGACGCGCTTGCTCCTGCTGGCTCGCGCGCCGGCGCCCATGCTGCACCGCCGCCCAGGCCCCCGGGCGGCACAGGATGGGCGTGCTTGCATTGCATGGGCGCGGGGCCGCACATTGATTCGCGACAGTGGAAGTCCAGACTCCAGAGCCCTTACTCCTCAGCGTGCAATGCGCCAGTACCGCAGTACGCGTCTGCCAAGCTTAGCCCGTGTTTAGTTCCAAAATTTTTTTAAAAAAAGTGCTACAGTATTAGTTCTTTCGAATCTCGCGATAGCCAACCATAAATGTAGATTTTTAATTCACGATTTATAAACCAAACCAGCCCGAACGAAGCGCTTACTCCTCAGCGTGCAATGCGCCAGTACCGCAGTACGCGTCTGCCAAGCTTGATTTATATTAAGAAGTGTACCGTTTGGCCTGCCTACTTCTGCACCATTGTGTGCCAATGAAAACTTGCAGCCTGCACTCGTCTACGGTCAGCAGAGACGACGGTACCTAGAAATACTCCGTAGATAGTGTACGCGTGCAAACGGCAAACCAGACGACATGCATGAGTGGTCCATGCATGTGTAACCGGATCCAAAATCACATGGCTGGCTGTTGTGCTTTTCTTTACTGCGTCGACCTCCTTTGTTTATAAGTTGTAGATCTGAACTTACAAGGCACTCACCACTACATGAAAAACGGTGTGTAGCAATGGGATAAAATTTTTTAGGGGCGGCTGGTGATGGAGCCGCCCCTACAGTGATGTGTTTGGGAACTCAAAGACCAGCCGCTCCTACAAATGAAACAACAGGACGGCTGGTGATACGAGCCGCCCCTACAAATGAGTCTGATTTGTTCAGGTGGCTCACTCACCAGCCACCCCCGGTGTTTCTATTTATAGGGGCGGCGGGTAATTGAACCGCCCCTACAAATACCCCACGTATAATTACCTGCTATTTGTAGGGGCGGTTCAATCAGCAGCTGCCCCTACAAATGATCCACATATATAAAAACTGTAGCACCTTCTTTCTCCTCGGACCACTCACTCCAACACGTGAAAGAAAGATGGGAAGGCCTTGGGCACCTCCCAAAAATTACTCTACTAAGGGGGGAAGGTTTTGGTCTCAAATTCCTTGGTGGAGAGATTGTAGAAGGTAAGAAAATACTATTCCACATTTTTTTTGAAGTTTTAATGGTTGGTTAGTGAGTAATTAGAGTTTTTTTTTCTCTCTTCTATGGTGCTTGAGCTACATATGAAGCAAATTAGACCCAAGTTTTGAATGTACTAGGATAAATTAGGTAGGAGAATAAGATCATACCCTTATTTGGTCCATGTTTCTTGATTTTAGTGAACAATTAGTTAGTTTTATGGATGTTTTATGTGCATGTAGATCTAGATCTAGGGTTTGATTTTTTTATTAATTTCGTTTTTGTAAATTTGTGTTTGATGAAATTGGACTATGGTTTGCATGAAAGATATTGGGTAAAATATAATTGTTGCTAATTGTTGTCTTTGAAATTGTTTATTGTAATCAATAAATATGTATTTTAATTATTTATGGATAAATGGGCTATTAATTAATTTTCCTCTACCATGGTG